ATAAATAAATAAATCTTAAAAAATAATAATAAATAAAAATAAATTCCTAAAAGTGATTCTGCTGTTTCAAAGAATATTTTCATCTGAAATTTTGAGATCCAAATTCCCTCCATGTTGGGATCATGCAGATTTGCACTCCCACTAGCACTGTTTGAGATCCTGTGTCCTCACAGCCTCACTGTATTAAGTTTGTTCTCAGACATTTGGATTTTTGCCCAACTGTTTGAATTAAAATGCTAACTTGTTTTAATGTGCATTTTTCTTATGAATTAAATTTCAGCTTTTTCATATTTTTGAAGACCATTTGTATTACTGTTAACTTTCTTCAAGAACCATTGATTATTTGATGCTAGAGGGCACCTAATGTTTGTTACAATGTCAACATCCAACAATTTCCTGATCATCATTGCACTAGGTGGTTAAGAAATTAGGAAAGACTGATGTCAGAAATGTTCTATTTGCTCTGACAAAAGTAGAATATCCAAATAACTACTGTGCTCATGGATTGTGCTCATGGAAAAGTAGGGACTGTTTCATCCATCTTTATTCCCAACAAAGTTCTCTCTTTCAAGCACTTATAAATTCCTTCCACACAATACCCAGACAGCATTATAATAATCTGGATAGCCTGAAATGAATTATATTTATTTCTTGAATTTCGTAGGAGCACAATTACCCTAAAGCTTATCAATAAAAAAATAATTTTAAATGACCATTGTTAACTATAGGAAATTAGTATCTCACACTTAATAAGTTGGTAAAGTTATTGCATAAATGAAAGTTTGTTTAAATGAAGAAATTGTCATTAAATAAATAACTGTAATGAGTCTTAGGAGATCAGGAAAATAAATTGTCATCTTTCCATACTGTCTTGGGGAAAAGGTTTTCTAACTCTAGACATCTGGTTCTTTAGGGAAAATTAGGCTGGGACTATCAGGGGGATCCATGTGACTATCATAAGAGCAATTGGTCTACTTTATTCTAATGGTGTTAATAAGGCTTCTTTTGAAATGATTCCCTCTTTTCTGATTCTGTTTCCTACATCCTGCCTTCACCAATTCAAACACACACTAAGCCTAATTTCAGCAGGGAAATGTTTCGAAGTTATTACTATGTGAGATTATTATTATGTGAGATGCTGCAAGCATTTTGCTATTACTAAGCTTTCCACAGGCTTAAAATAGTGATTCTCTTGTAAAGATGTGTGGTGAATATTAGCACTACTTCAGTTTTCCTTTTCTCTTAAATATGCATACCCATTTCCCCCAGATACTAGACTTTCCTGGAAAAGTTGATCAGGAATTCTTTTTTTTTTTCAAAGATGTATTTATTTATACATACAGAACTGGGGTACAGGCCAGAGGTGCAGAGGTGGTGAGAGAATCCACCAGAGACAGAGTAAGGCAGACCCACCAGCACTCTGCTGAGGGGAACAGCAGGTGGGTCAGGAGAGGTCTGCCTCCCGGCGGTGGGGATCCAACTCATGCTGAAGTGGCTTTAGCTTCTTAGTGCTATGCTTTAACCTGCTGTGCCACCAGGGAGGGCCTGATCAGGAACTCTATGAAAATGCTTCCAGTTTATTCGAACACCTTTCCTATCCTACCTTCACACTCACCTCTTAAAAAGCACCTTCTAGGTGATCCTCCTTTAGCTTCAATTGTAAATAAGTGGTTCCCAGGTACCAGTGACTGATTTTACTTTCCTAAGGTACAGTTCTGTGGCTCATACAATGGTCTACACATGAGAACTACCACACTGTTCTTAACCCCTGCATTTGTAATGAAAATTCATAAAAGAAAATTAACACTCTTTTCCATTATTTGGTAAATGGTGCTCAATATATACTGTTGTTTTTTTAAGAATGGCAGAATTACCTATTCATCTAATCTTCCCCATCTTATATTTCTGGTAAACACTCTGAAAATCTTAATTATGTCCCCTCTACGAGTTTGTACTCTCCAAGTTGATAATTCACTTACTGAATTTTGTCAATCAAAGTATATGACATAATGTTTAATTCCCCCCCTTTTTTTACTGATGCTCCTAAAATCACCCTTGGTCAACTCCAGCTGTTTGGGAGAGAAGGCAAACAAGGTCATGAATGTGAAATAATAACTTAGCTAAGGATTGAGTGACAGAAATTTACCAAGAATTAAGCACTGATTGTTTTATACTATGGTATTTTATCTTACTCCACCACCAACTATTTATACCTATGTTCAGCTCTCAGTAATAACCATTTGCTCTGAGCTAGATGCTTTAATACTTTCACTTAACTGAAAATTAAATTTCATATAAGTTATCAAGTTAGGGCAAAAACTACAAACCCACTACAATCAATTTTGGGAGAAAGTAATTTTTCTTAAAAGGAATTTCAGATAAGAACACTGCATCAATCTAGCCACTCCATTGAAAGGCTGTTTGCTTTTGTTTGCCCCAGTGATGCATCTGCTTCTCTCTCTACATGCCTCTTTCCCCAGAATTGAATATGGATTTCTTAGAATGTCCTAACACTTAATTCTATGTTGACCTTTTTGTCTAAATCTGTGAGAGGGCTAATTTTCTTTTACTGTGTTCTTTTTTACTTAGAAAGGGTCTTTTCCTGGCTTCTGAAGCAGAAACAAAACCCCTACTAAAGGCTCACCTCCACATTCACCTTTCCTCTTCCAGAAGCAGCTAAGAAACAGAAACAAGGAATTAGAAAGGACTTGTGAATAGCTTTGCATTTACTGAGTTTGGGAGCTGCCCTCTTTGGGCCCAATGGGGAAAAGGCATCTGTGCCCGGAGGAAAGGAATGCTCCCACCCTAGGGACTTCCGGTTGCATTCTGAGGACTCTCAGCCTTAGAGTAAGTCTTTGAGCGAGTCATCCTCGTGTCGTGGGTCCTCCCTTGGCTGCTAGAAGAGGGGTCATTTTTATTCTGTGTTGGCTTCTGGATGGTCCGTCTTACCGGTTTCTCAGGGTCCGTTTTCTTTTCCTCCCGTGCCTTTGTGCTTGGTCTCTTAGGGTCTCGCGACCTAGGCCTGCTGTCTTCCTTTGTGGTTCCTCCTCTCCCCTCGTCCACTTTGGCCCTCTCTTCCATCTTGGTTTTGGAGCGCGCAGTCTCCTTGGGCCTTGCCCTTACTCTCCTCACTTTCGAGGTCACCCTCCTTCGTCTCCACACTTCCTTGGTCTTCTTTACTCTGCGCCGAGGTACAGGGCTCCTCCGCTGGCTCCGAGACCCCGCGTGGATCTTCCTCGGAGAGCGAGCGCCCTCCTCAAACCTCAGGCGTCCGAGCCTTCTCTTCGACTTGGGAATCTTCCAGACCCTGAAGTAGCCAGCGGCATCACTGCCGCTAACCCGGAGGAGCGTGCCCTTCACTTCAGACCTGGAAGAGTCTCCCGAGTGGCGGCAGCACTTCCTGCGCACTTCGTAGCCAGCATTCCCGAGCTCCCTCTTCAGCGCCGCCAGAGTCAGCCCTTTGTGAGCAGTGATGGCTCGCAGCAGCAGCTGGGACACCTTGAGCACGGAGCGCGGCCCCCGCCTCTGCACGGACCCTGGGGTTTTCTCCGCTGGCTGCTGCGTCTTCCCTTCAGTACCTTTGGTCTCGCCATTGGCCTGGGCAGTCTCAGCCATGGCCCCGCTCCCGCAGCCGCGGGGCCACTGGCTTCGGATCTCACCGAGGCCAGAGCCAAGGCAACTAGGCTGGCCGGCAACTGCGTCACAAAAGGCGGTGCCCAGTCAAGGTGTGCAGGTTCAGAGAATCAGAGGCCCTCACCCAAGTCGGGGCTTTTTACTATTTTTTTTTTTTAAGATTTATTTATTTATTCGTACAGAACTGGGGTACAGGCCAGAGATGAGGAGGGTTTGAGGCTTCACCAGAGACAGAGTGGGGAGCAGAACAGGCAGATCTACGAAGTACACTGCTGAGGGGAGCAGCGGGCGGTCAGGAGAGGTCTGCCTCCCCAAGTGGTCTCCTCCGGGGCAGGCGGGGATCGAACTCATGCGGAAGTGGCTTAAGCTTCTTTGTGCTGTGCTTTAACCCGCTGTGCCACCAGGGAGGGCCGGGGCAAACACAGCTTTGTTCCAGGTCGAAATCATTCCAGATCTTGAACCTCATACACCTCTGAAAATCACCTTTATAATGTCCAACGGCTGATTCCCAGCATTTATACTTCTTATTGACCTTGATTATCTACCACCCTCTGAAATGCACTTTCTCGATAAGCCCTGCACACCATGAACTCACATGTCTCTTAACATGAGAGATGTTACTCTCTACTATCCTAAACAATGCTCTTAAAAAGTAAATGCAATGGTCTGTAAAACACAAGGCGCAAAAGCTTCTACCATTAAATCCGATTGGTTTTAGGCCTCTGCCCAGTGGATTATGTGCAAGAAAATGAAGCGGCAGCCAGAATCACTGTGGCCCCTCTACTCCAAACCTGAGAAATTCAGAGACCTTACTCAATTGAATTGGAACAATCTAGTATACAAGTGTTCCAGGAATACTGGTCTAGTCATTATTCTTCAAACTAACTGTGCTTTCAGTGTTCTTGTCCTTCTTCTTGGACTTCTTGTCTCCTTTCTCTGCCCAAACTCATCTTTCAGAGTCCTTATAGATTCTTTCTTCACTCTCCAAACTCTTCAAATGATCTCCTATCACAATTGCTTCTGTTAGTGTTCTTCATTTTAAATTAATTTGGTATGGTACCAAACAAAGATAGGACACAGAAAATTATAGATCAACATTGCTGAGTACATAAAAACAAAACCCCTCAACAAAATCTTATCAAGTCAAATTCAAGAAGAAATTAATATAATAACCCATCATGACCAACTGGGATCCATTCTAGCATGTAAGAGATCCATTCTAGCATGAGAGATGGTTAAATATTTACAAATCAATATCATTTACCGCATAAACTAAAAAATAAGATAAAAATCACAGGATCACTTCAGTAGACACTGGTGGAAAAGGCTTTTTACAAAATTCAACACCTGTTTAATGTAAAAACATTCAATAATATAGGAATAAGATGAGCATACTAAAGGCCGTATATGACAAAACCATACCCAACAACACATTCAGTAGTGGAAAACTGAAATATTTTCCCTAAGATCAGGAACAAGACAACTACTTTCACAACTAATATTCAATATAGTTTTGGGAGTCTAAGCCAGAGCAGTTTGGTGCTATGGGATGATTGGTAGGCGATCCAGTCAGTCACAGGATTGAAAAATGGTCCAATCAGTCTTGTGGGTAAGATACCTTGTGAGAAGTTATACGCCAGAGTGGGAAGAGCAGAGGGGAGGCAACGCTAGCCCTGTGGAGAGATGTCATATACCAGTCAGTTATATGTGAACACTGTACAAAAAGATTAGTGGACTCTGATTCCCACAGTAGCATTATTCACAATAACTTAATCATGGAATCAACCTATCTGTCCATCAACAGATGACTGGATAAAGAAATTGTAGGGTGTATCATACTCAGTGGAATGCTACTCAGCTATTAAAAAAAGATGAAGTAGTACATTTTCAGAAAAAATGGATGGATCTTGAGATAATTAAGCTAAGTGAAATAAATCACAATGTGAAAGACAGTTACTGCATGGTTTCACATATTCGGTATATAACTAACCAATGAAAACAAACTGGTAAAACATAACATAAATAATTCATACATCAAAAATATGCTGGCTACCAGAGGGGATTTGAGGTTGGAGGAGGAGACAGAGAAGAAAGTGATAGGGCTTTATCACTGGAGCCTTGGTCGAATGTAAGTGAAACACATTCATACAGAGGTGTGAAGTTGTATTCCCAAAATTATACAGCTATGTAAATGATTGGCAAATCAATAAAATATAAGAAAAATAAGATAAATAAATTTGGTGTTAGAAGGTTCAGTGTGGCAATAATTTAAAAGGAAAAAAAAAATAACCTGGGCTTAAACCTGGAAAATATGAACACATATTCTAGCTCTTTAACAGTCATTTGATATTGACAAATCCATTACTTTTGTGACTCTAACTTCTTTTACTTAAATTATATTTATTGAGGTAATGTTGATTTATAACACTGAACATAACTCAGGGGTACAGACTCACACTTCTATAAATGCATAATCTCACACCATCCCCACTATCAAAGCACCAAAAATCTTTTCCACCATACCATTGAATCTGATTATGTTTTTTAAAAAAAAGTGACTAAGACCTTCCTACAGCATCACAGAATTATTGTGGAGATTCTAAAAATTCAGAATACGTAGTGGAAGATGACAAAGACCCAAATAGAGGCATAAAATTGTTTTACTCTGAATGTCCCTAAGTGCCAGTCACTAAACTTCTATGTCTTGTGCTGTACACCTTTTTTATGTATCGTGAGCATTTGATTGACTCTGCTTAAACTCCTCCCAGGTACGGAGTTTTTTTTTCCCCTGGATGCAGAAGGGAATTCCTGAAGAGCAGAAGAAGGGAGTAGGATGATTTTCATGAATTTCAAAGGGTTAGGAGTGAAGGGGGTCAAGTGACTCCTCATGGAGCCATTAATTTGGACAAGGTTTAAATGATTTAATTCAAAGTATTGCTCAAAGACTACTGCAAATTATATCACATTCTCCCAGAGGATATTGACATGTACTAAGCTTTCACAGATTGCACTATGACATAGTTTATTCCAGGAATCAAAGTTCCTGGAAGTAACTTAGAACATTTCTCAAACTTTAATATGTTTAATCTTCATAAAAGATAGCTTCCAGTGGAATAGGTCTGAGGTGGGGCAAGAGTTAACAGTCTCTCAGGTAACTGTTCATCGAGTTTAAACACAAGTGTTCAAGTTTTAGTGGACAGGTGAGAACAAGCAATAAGAAGGAAAGAAGCAAAAGATGTGACTAGAGAGATAAATTAGGATCAAGGTGTGAAGGATGGATAGCATGCTAATAAGAACTGTAAATTGCCTAATTTAGTATAGAGATTGGATTCAAACTGACAACCTAGATTAGGTTTTGAACCTAATTCTGAGACTTGAGTCCTTAATTGTTGTACTAGGTTATTTTATTTTCAAAACTGACCCCCTTTATATGTTTCCGCTATCATTTGGGGAAGTTAGCATAATTATAGATCAGATTTGGGGGTACAAGCACAGTCTTTAAATCAGGGCAGAGTACTATAATCCTGAGGATCTCCAAGGGCAAGAGACTAATACATCACCACAGGGACAATGCAAGAAGAACTTGCCAGTTAGAGAGGTAGAACCAGTCAGACTTCTCCCGTTTGTGCAGTCTCTTGGACTGGCTATATACTTCATGGTTGCATAAGCCAATGGCCACTGAAGGATGCAAACTCCAGAGGAAAAGTTGCTTGCTTTGAGAATAAGAGGAAAATAAGTAAATTCTTACCTTCAAAGCAGCTAACTCCAGGTAAAAATAGGGTAACACATGAAAGCAAACACCATGTTTAATTTTATCCCTGTAAGCAGAGTGAAAGTCTTTGGGAAAAGATACTAGAAAAAACCTCTATGCCCTCCCAAGCAAATATTGTTATTTCTACATAACCATTTCTATATAAATATACTATAAATAAGAGAAAAAATATTAAATGAAAACTAAAATACAAATGCCCTGCTACAACTCAATAGTCTCCGAGGTCAAAATAACCAATTGACAGAATTTTCCGTAACACCAATCACTTAGAGTTCTTCTCTTCCACTTTGGAACAAATCTCCTTGTCAAAACTCTTCTAACACCCCAAAAGATGTAAAGAAAGGAAAAATATATGTCCAAAAATGTATGTCAGGAAAAAATAGCTATATCTTTTTAGAAAAAGTCAGTACAAATCAGCATTACACCTTAATAAAGAGATGTCTGCCCAGTTTCAGAGAGACAAAACTGATATCTCTCTTCTGATTTTAATGTCATGTGCTTACAAATCAGAAGACACCACCTAGTAAAAATAGTAACACTCTGTTATAAGAAAGAACATTTGCTCGCGTTTTCATGATGCTTTCTAGGTAGAGAATAGGGTAGGATAGGGGGAAGGAAACAGATAAATGGAAATATATCTAGCCTAAATCCTTCTACTTTATATGTTTCAGAGCAATATCATTTTGTTTTTGATTGGTAATAAACTTCTTCCTCTGGTGCAATCATCAATGCCTCGAGGTCTCCAGAGGAACCTGTTTGATTCAGACATCAAGCAACTTTTAATTACTATATTAAATTCCAAAGATATCAGAGGTTTCATTAAGATCACTTTTTCATGCTGAGTTAGAGAGTTTTAATTTCAACATATCACAACACAGCATAATTTAGTAGCATACTCTTATTTTACCTCAAGCTATATCTCAATGATCCTCCCTTGGGGGATCCAATCTAGATGTTAGGTCTAACTAAATTGTCTCACATTGATTCCATTTATCTCTCCCAAAACTGAATGACAGATACCAGTTTAATAGTCTATTACAAATGACTATAAACTACCAGTTTTATGACCTGACAACACTCATTTGAATAAGCGAGGCTTCCAGTCCACACATATAGTGCCTCACAAAAAGGAAAGCAAAAGTAAAATAACAAGATTCCTAAAAAGCATGGAGACAGTTTGGCCATTGAGCATTCAGCTTTTTAATACTTG